GGAAGTAAGGAAGAACCCATAAGCTTCCTAAGGTAGCTAAGATAGTAAAAAGCTTAGCGAATATAATCTACAGAGGTATATAGCTAAGGCAAGGACTAGCTTAAAGGTCTTATATAAATATATAAGATTTACAGCGGGAAATAAGGAAAAACCTATAAGCTCCCTAAGGCAGCTAAGATAATAAAAAGCTTAGTAAGTATAGTCTATAGTAATAGTAAAGGTAAGGTTAGTAATATAATATATAAGTACTAGCTTAAAAAACTTACTTAAATATATAAGATTTATTTATAAAGCCTATTATAGTAAAAGATAAAGTAAAAAAAAAGCTATAAAAGCCTTAAAGTAGCTTAAATAGTAAAAAACTTAGTAAATATAACTTATAATAGTATATAATATAATATATAAGTATTAGCTTAAAAAACTTACTTAAATATATAAGATTTATTTATAAAGCCTTAGTAATAAAAAAAAGTAAAAGAAAGCTAAAAAAAAACCCTAAGTAAAAATATAAATTTTATAAAAAGAAAAAACCTTATAAAAATATAAGGAATTCTTTATTTATATTTATTTACTTTTTACTACTTTTTTTTAATTTCTTTTACTTTTATTTACTTTTTTTAATCCCTTTTACTTTTTTTTAATTTTTTTTATTTTTTTTTACTAAAGCTATTAGTAAATACTATAGCTATTAAATATTATATTAAAATATTATAAAAGCAGAGGGGTTATAAAATATACCTTATTTATTAATATTACCTATAGTAGTATTATTAATAATAAGGGTTACTTTAGTTTATAATATATTAACCTAGGAATTAAGGTAATCCTAAGTTATAGTAATAAAAATAATATCTTAAGCTTAGCTAAGTATAAGCTAAGATTATAAAAAAAGTTAGTAAAAGGTAACTTAGTAAAGCTAAAGGAAATAAATTAAAATATAAAATATAAATATAGCTTAAAGATTATATAATAAATTTATAATATTTAATTAAACTTAGGTATTTATAATTTTATAAATATAACATAAATAAAGTTATTATACTATTACTATAGTATAAGTTTAATAAATAGGAGTTATTAATATAAAACCTAGCTTTATTTTATTATAGGCTTTTTTATAGTTTACTTAAAGTATAGTAACATAGGCCTAGGTATATATTAATACCTATTATATAGTTATTATAAAATTAATTTACTAAGTTAAGGTTATTAAACTTAATTTTATTAATTAAATTTATATATATAACCCTATTAGTAATTAATATAAAAATATAGGTATTATTATAATTATTATAATAAAAATATTTATTATTATTATTTAAGAAGGAGTAAGTAAGGCCTTAGTAAAATAAACTTAGAAAATAAGGCTATATACTTAATATATTATAATAATATTTTATTATATTACCTAGCTTTTAATAATTATAATAATATATATAATATTTATAAATATAAGGCTTATATTAGGTTTTAGTAAAAAAAAAAAAAGCTAAGATAAAGTATAACTTATTTATTAGCTTTTAATAATATAATAAGGGAAGGCGTAGGCGTAGGCGTAGCTATAGTTATAGTTATTACTATAATACTTAGTATTAGCTTTTAATAAAATATAATTAAAAGAAGTATTATAGTAGAATTATTAATAAAGAAAAAAAAATATAATTATAATAATAGTAATTAAAGACTTTATAAAAAGAAAAAGAAAAATACTTTTTTTATAATTTAAGTATTATAATTAATAATTATAAACCTACCTTATAGAATTATTATTATAAAAGGTAAATTACTTTATAATAAATAGCTTTTATATAGCTTTCTGCCTTTATTTACTTAAGGACTATATTTTTTATTATTATAATATTAAATAAAGGTTTTTTATTTATAATTAAATTTTACTATAGCTTATATAGTAAAAAGTTAAGGCTAATACTTTAATAATACTTTATAAAAAAGTATAAAAGAAAATTATAAAAAATTATATAAAGGTATATTTTAAAGAAAAAAAAATAGCTTATTAAGGGCCTAAGGAAGGAAGAGGTATAATAAAGCTATAAAGCTAGTAAATATTACTAAAGTTACTACTTAAAGGCTAGTTATAGCTAGGATTTACTATATAAAGAAGTATAAATCCCCTTAGTTCTAAAGAAGGTTAGAGATAAATATAGTTATTATATACCTTTTAGCTACTTTATCCCTTTGTGATAACTAGAACCTCTCCTTAACTCTATTACTCTCTCGTACGCCGCCGTCTCTGACAGTTCAATCCTACCTACAGCACCGCAAATTTTGCAAAATACCAATTCTGGATACAAATACCGAAAGAAAACTTCTGTTTTCGTAAGGTTAGCGACCAATGAGAATGATTTTTTCCATTAACCCGATTTTTAATACCATTCTAGGATCTCTAATACTAAGAAAAACGCTAGTTGTGACTAAGCGATAAATCACAAGCTATGAATGTGTCAGTGGTTATATACTGAGTTGCCGTTGATCTTTGAATGTGTCTTTCTGTAACAATATTAGCATAGACAGTTTACAAACGTGGGGTAACACTTAAATAGGGATAATGTTGAGAATAAAAATATGAGTGTAAATGAAAAGAACATTTTGAATTAATCCGCTTATCTATATCGTGGGTGAAACCCTCGAGGGCTTTGCCATAAGGAATTTTCATGAGCGTTGGCGTAGACGGACATACATTGAATTGCTAGAGAGAAAGATTTCTCCAACAAATTCAATCTCGAAACAAATAAAACTCATCTTATTTACTAAATTATCCGTAAGGAAAGCATTCTCGATCATCTCTTTCCCCCTTGTGACACATCTTCAGGGTCAGTAGTAAAACCAGTAGGGATATTAATAACAGCTATGCTACTAGTGAAATGTAAATATAAAATATGGTATATACGATAGTATTTAAATAAATGCTATTAAACCTAAGGATGTAAGCTCATATTATCTAGCCGCAGGCCATAACTTTGCCTCGGCAGACTTCTTCGGGTGGCTGTCGAACAGTGGCTATACTGCGGTCTAAGGGAATACAAAACGGCGGTCCCAAAATGAATTATAAACTTCCAAGAGTACAACAGAAGTGTGTCATAATGTATGTGGCAGGAAAATTAGCCTACTGTCAACATCAGTGAGTGGTGATGATCGCTAGAGATGCAACGCACAAGCGGCGGATCCTTGTGAGCTTGTTGTAACAGCTACAAGCTGGGCTCCAATGGTAATATTACCATCCACGGGCACTTCCATGCCCCCTATAGTGGAGACATAGAGAACATTGTTATCATTTGAACCACGGCCAAACGCAGCAGATGTAGGCTCTGCAATTTCCGTGGAATTGACATTGCCGGCTATAATGGACTGCTGTCCATTGATAGAGATGCTCTCAACGCCATTTCCACTTCCCGTCACAAGGAAAATGTTTCCATCGCAATCCAGAGTAAAATCGTCATATGTATCGACTGGCTCTAACGGTCGGGCTACTATTTCGATGTCTCCAGCCGGTGTCCCATCGTCATTGATCGCAACTCTGGCCAAAAACCCTTGACCAGCATTGACAAAGTAGAGCATCTTCGAATCTCCATCATGATGGACATGTAACCCATCCACTCCAGCCGGAGGGACAGGCGGCTCAGGTACAGAATTGGTCAGAGTACTGTTGATGACGACCTCATAGTTGCCTTGGGTATCAAGGCGATAGACAACGCCAGCATTGACATCGCTCAAGAGAAATGTGCCCTCGGACTGAGACAATAATGTTATACCGTTGAGAAAATTGGCGGATGCGACGTTAGCAATAAGACTAACATTTGGCGACCCAGAGAGCACGTTGCCCTGAACGGAAACATCATTCATATCGACACTCCAAACATTCCAAGACCCAGTACCAACATCTCCAGCGGGAATGTTGAACCGTCCAGATATGACTGCAAAGACGTCAGGCTCGTATTCGGCGATACCAGCAAGACCGAGTGAATCGGTGAACTCGTGTACCAAAACCGCCTGGGGAGCTCCAGCTTCTGGGTCTGGATCAATGGCGAAAAGTTGTGGCTCGTTAAGTAAGCCCGTGAGAATTTCGCCATTGGATCGAACGGCAAGGTTTTCGAAAAAAGTATTGGGAGGAAATTGAAAAACCGTACGGACAGGGTTGAGGAGTCTGGGCTCTGAGACAGCTATTCCCAAGCCGAAGAGGGTACAGCAAGCAAATGTTGCTGTTAGAAACATGGCTGAGTTGGTGCTTCTAGTTTTACTCTCAAATTTTCTTTGGTTGGTGAAGGAACTGCAATCAAGGACGATTCTACAAATGCTTTATATACATTTTACAGCTACAGCTGAGAGCCCAATTCGCAGTGTCGGGTTTGTATGGAGTTACAACTAACTCCGCCAGGCACCAAACATGGTAACAGGCGGTGAATTTGATCTCCGAAGGGGACTTTCTGATATCGCCGATCTAAATTAATCCATATTTCCAATTATTGCTTCCAGGAGGTCGAAAGTTGCACTGTGCTGGCACCAGTCTGCTGTGAAGATGGGCAAAGAGTCAGCAGTACATTGAACTACCTCTATTTGCCGAAGGGTTCCATATTATCCCACAAACGATTCGGACAGACTGCAATGGGCGATATAATCAACTAGATACATTTAAATTTGTTATTCATTCACTATGGGTAGGCCTTTTTATCCCGGCGTTGCCTGAGCGATACTGTTAAACCAGACTTTTCGATTTGCCATTACAAGGCTTGATACTTCTTCATTATAAGGAAAAAAGAAAGCTGAGCATGGTTTAAACCTTCTGAGGCATGAACATGGTAATTACCCAATTGGTGTCTACAGATTGGATCCTTCATTCATATAAATTGGTTCATCCTACTTCAATGCATGATCTTATATTTTCCTCCGAACCTCATTACCCATCACATCTAGAGACCCAGGTGTTATCGTGAACCATCAATTATAAACATATACAAAGATATATAATTCCGAGCACTGTATTTCTAAATATCATCGATCAATGGGCTCAGCCCTTGCGCAGACCCCAGGCGATTCTCAAAGAAAAATCTCAACCGCTCAACAGTAACGCGATCGTCCATAAACCGAGCAAATGCCGTCGGGTTTGTATGGGGTGTATGCATTATGTCAGAATATGGTGATTCGGAAGACTTGATGTCCTGTCGAACACTCAAGCTAACAGTACGCTGATATTCGGCGCTAAGAAGATAGTTATGGAAGAGTTTTGCGCCCTCGGGATGTGGTGCATTCTTCAGAATTGCCGCAGTCTGGGGCCAGCTGACGAAATTTGCATCATTTGGAAAGGCAACCTTGATGTTTTTGCCGGGATTAAATCCACCAAAGCTCGTAAATGTAGCCGATTGAGAGTAGTTGGCCGCGCTCAGGATGGTAAGAGGGGTAGCAGTCCCACGAACCCATCGGGGATTTTGCTTCAAAAGGCTATCAAACCATTTGGTTCCAAGTTCTTGCATACTAACCATGGTTAATAGCCAAGTATTTTTGTTGTCTTGAAGTAAGCAACTCACATCTGATAGAAAGCAAAGAGAACAGCATCGTCGTCATTAGGATACGTTAGGACAAGTTTGTTTTTGAACTCCGGTTCCAAGAAACTGCTATAGGAGGATATATTCTTGACATTGGGTAGCTTGCCACTATTCCATGAGATGCTCCAGAAAAAGATGCTATAGCCATACCAGGAAGCTGATATAGAATCTTTGAATGTAGGATATACCTTGTCAAATCCGACGGGGGCATAATTGAGCAAGGCGCCTTCCTGTTGCCAACGGGGGAAGTCTTGTAGTGTCTGAAGAATTATGCTATCAACGGAAACGTCATTATCATATAACTGTTGATCGATTTTTCCCTCGAGATATTTCGAGAGGTCCACAGTTATATTTAGAGTCATTCCGGGAAAGCGGTTCTCGAAAGCACTTTTTAGAGTCTCTTGTTGGTCCTTTTCGTCGCCTCCATGCCACACGGTAACTGTCCCACCCTCCTTGAGAGCAGCCTTGTGTATTTCATCAAGTGACCGAGTCTCAACTATTGGGTGGGAATTAAAGCCGAGAATAGTGTCATAAGCAAGAGATTGTCCAAGGAGGAGGGCTGTGGTTAAAAATCGAGACATGATGACTTGAAAGATTGTACAAGGCTGTTTAAGTGGTGTTAAGATAGCCAATGACAATACGTATGGTTGTACAGTTCTATGTCGAACATTTTATATTAAACTATAGACACTTTCCGATTACCTTCATTCTCTTTGCGTTTTGACATAAGGCTCACCGACCTTGTGGCATTAGCAATCATGCCGTCAATGAATGAGTCAACAATCCACATCCTCTCCGATTGTCCTTGTTGGCAATAGCAAGCCCACATTGTTCCCCGAAAAAAATAGCAGGACTTACAACGTGCCGCGCGTTTAAGTGTAAGAATGTGGGACGCTTTATAAGCGTTTCTTCAGGGGTATTGGAACCTATTGTGGCTCGGAAATTAACTGCTCAATAAGACTACGTAAATGTATTTTGAGGTGTATGCAATGATAGTATTTGTCCAATTAAAAAAACCAGTGCCGATGGAGCATGTTACTTTCATGCCATGATGCATATAGCCGCAGTGTAAGAATAATATTTCACTATGAAATATATTACGGAAGAAAACAAATACGCACATCTTGCTCATCGCAATATCCAACTACTCTAAAACTACCTGTATACATAGCGGGGCTATGCTTGGGCCATGGGTATCCTTGGGAAAGTAGTCCACATCTCTCTACAGTCCATAGTGTGCCTGGTATTATGTTTGTAACTGTTCGTAATTCTCACGATGATTCCACTGCATCACTTTTTAATTCAACAGAAATTGTATAAACTCCAATTGATTGCTAAAACTATCCTATTTCCCTTGATGTTAAAGGTAATGCTTTCATCCTGAATATTGTGATACAGCCTCGCTCGTCTGGTAATTATATTCTCTAGTCCGCATCAATATGAAGCAACATGCAGAGTGTCCTACCTCACCTCTCCATGTATAACTAAAATGAGTGACAATAATTTCCTTAATTGAACTATACAACTGATTCTGCAGTCACTTGAAAAACAACAAGCCCAATCCGATTAGCTTTCTAAAAAAAAAAAGCTGATTAAGTCAGACATATAGTGGGTGTGTATACAAGCTTCCCTCCTATATTTACAGGTACCCTACCTTTTGGGTGCTTAACTATTAAAAACCTTACTCTGTCTAACTAGCTATTAGATAAAATAAATACTTTCTTCTTATTTACGGTCCTATTAGGGGACTTTAAAGAGATAGAAATATCTGCAAACCCTTTAGATAACTAAAACAGAATAAATCCTATTGCCCCTGGATTAGTAATAGACCCTTAACCCTAGAAGGAAATAACCCCCTTAGGCCTAAGAATAAGAGAGTTTATAATTTTCTCCTTTACCCCTAAGAAAAAAAAATATTTTATAAAAGCCTTTAGAATAAATAAAATACTTTTACTTAGCTTTACTAAGGCTAAATTAAGCTTAATAGTAATATTAACTATAGTATAAATAGCCTTAAGAGGCTTTATAGCTTTTATTTTTAATAATATAAAAGAAGTTACTAAACTAAATAAAAAGGGAAAATCTTTTACTAAAACTAAAATTATAAATTAGATTAATAAAATTAATATATAATAGTAAGCTAAATAAAATATAATATTAAATATTATTATTATTATTAACTTCTGCCTAGTATAATATATATTTTAACTCTTTTTTATAGTAGTAGAATAAGTTTAATTATATTTAAACACTATACTTAAAAATTTTATTACCTTCTATATTAATCCTAAGGGGAGGCCTAAAAACTTTAAAAAATTAAGTAGTAAAGAAAAAGCTGCCTTATAATAAACCAGTGCCTATATATTAGTATAGACAGTGCTTTTCCCAAGGGATAAACCTTAGAGAGGTTCTATAGTTTATATTAGTGGAGCGATTAGGTTAGTTAATAGGCAATCTTATCACTAGTTAATAATATAAATAAGAGTAAAGGTCTAGGTTCTAATTTAATTATATTATAAACGCTATAGCTGTAATAATAACTAGCTATTTAAGTGTTTTAATAAGTAATATATAGTAAACTTATATATTTAGTTAACCTAGACTAAATTAATAGATTATTTATTAATCTATTCCTAGATTAATAGATAATTTATTAATCTCTTATTAGATTAAGAAGTTATATCTTAATCCTCTCTTAATTAGTTAAAGGATTAAAGTTAATCTAGTCCGGGCTAACTTATTAGCCTATTATTACAACCTTAAGAGCCAGGTTATAATATAATATCCCCCCTCCTATTAGTCTTATCCTTAAGACCTTACTATAGCTAGTATAAGTAGCTGTTCCCCCTCCTTCCTTATTAATATCCCTTTTTCTTATATTAACCGTATTCCGTTAATTATTATATCAGGTATTCGCAAAAAATCCCATCCTAAGATAAAGCGTTACAATATTCTTTTAGAAATTATATTATCGCATTCTATTAAAATAAAAGATTATATATATTATTCTAATAAGAAGAAGTAAAGCTTCTTAAAGTATTAAATATCTAAAGAGAATTCTACTTAGTATACTAAATATATAAAAAACAATAAATCCTTATATAACGCGCGTCCTTTATTATCTACTTAGCTTCACAAAATCGCTATATTTTATACTTAATATAAAAACGCTCTTAAGAAGGCTAAAGAGGAACGTAAGACTGTTAATGCAAAAATTAAATATTTTTGTAAATAAAAGCAACTTTAGCTAAAGAAAATAACTTATGCAGTTACGCAGGGTATTAACAATTTAAAGGAGTTAGATAGGGTTAAGCATAAGGAGGCAGAGGCTATTTATTAGGCTATAATATTATTACCTAATCTAACTAATCTTATAACTGCGGGTTCCGTAGTTAACGTTATAGATTAAGACACTTTTAACCCTTCTTTACTAAACCTAAACTTTAGTAAAAGTTATTCACAAGGTCTTTTAAGTATTTAAAGTCCTTAATAATTTACTATAAGTTTTTTATTTTATTATAGCCTTTTTATTTTACTAGGTATTTAGTTTATTAGGTATTTTTATTAAATCTTATTATTTTAAGTTTTTTAACTTTATATTTAAATTCCTTGCCTTAAATAATAATTTTATTTTATATAACTTTACTTATTTCCTTATTTACTAATACTTTTTTTAATAGTAAAATATAAAAGTTTAAATATATAGTTTTTTTTTATTATCTTAGGGTAAGTAAAAGATCTATTTTATAATTAATAAATCTAATTTTCTTTATAATTTTATAAAGTCTAAGTTTTTTAAAGTTAAATTTATTACTTAACTTATTAATCCTAATATTTAGTTATTTATTATTTTATAAATATTAAAGTAAGTAAATTATATCCCCCTTTTTAAAAATTAATTCTTTAATCCTTTTAATATCCGTAAATTTAGCTATTTATTCTTTAATAAATTTAAACTATACTTATAATTCTTAATATAGTTTCTTAAGTTTATTTACTATAATAATAGCTTTATTAATATTTTCTTTTTTAATAAAAGGTTAGTGTAAATTTAGTTTAAACCTATAGTTTATATAAAATAGTAAGTAGTTTATAAATTTTACTAATATATTATTATAAAATACTTAGGTAGTTAGTAAGTATTTTACTTAATTATCTTAATTAAAGTTAATATAATATTATAAGTAAGTTTTAATAATTTAGTTAATTTACTTAATTTATTTATTTATTTAAGGGTAATAAACTATACTAGCTTTATATTTTAGTTTAATTTTTACTATAAGTAATTACTAGAATTTTAATATAAATATTAATTTTTTATTAAAGATAATTTTATTTAATAGTTTATAATAAATATAAATATTTTAAAAAAAAATATAAGCTAGGTTTTTTATAAAGCTTTTTTTAGTAATTAAAATAAAATAAGCTATTTTTAAAAATTAGTTAATTATTATAAAAATACTATCTTATATTCTATTAATTATAAATTCTTTAAAAAGTAAAAGCTTAATAATATAGTTAAATATTATAAATTTCTAATTTTTTACTAAAATTAGTAAAAGTTATAATTTTTTATAAAAAAAATAATATAATACCTTAGCTTATTTATATATTATATATTTAAATATAATTTTTTATACTTATTTTTTAATATCTTTAAATTTAAAGTATTATATAACTTACTAAATAGTTTTTTATATTTTATAATATTTATTAAGCTTATATATATAAACTAATTTTATTACCTTACTTTATAAATTTTCTAATACCTAAATAAGTTTATTTAATATTAAGTATTTAATATTTATAAAAATACTTTTTAAGTATTATTTATTTTCTTAGTTTTTAATATATTTCTTTATATTATTAATAATTAAATTATCTATTTTAATTTAGTATATTATATTAATTAATCTAATTATAAAATCTTTATATTAGTTTTTCTCTAATACTTAGGCTTTAATTTCTAAAATTTTTTAAAAGTAGTCTAGGTATTTACTAAGTATATTAGTATATTTATTATTTAAACTATTATAATATTTAATAATAAGTTTAAATTTAAAAAGTTACTTATAGTATTTAACTTATTTATAAAATAGTTTTTATATTATTATAAAATAAGTAATATTTTAATAATTTATAAAAATAATAATTAAAAATTAGCTTTTTTTATAATAATATCTCTAATATTACTTACTAAGTGCTTAATATATAATTATAAACTTTTTATTATAAATAAAGTATTTAAGTTTTAATTTATTTAGTTTTTTAAAAAAATAAATAATAGGCCTAAGTTTTTTCTTAAGTATATTATTTAATTATTAAAGTACTCCGCTAATTATATAATCTAAGGTATTAGTTTTAATTATAATAAATTTATTAAAGTTAAATATTATAAATACTAAGGTAGTAATAAAGGCTTATTTAAGGTATTTAAAGGTAATTAAAGTATTTTATATTAATTTAAATTTAATATTTTTTTTAATTAAGTTTATAAATAATATAGTAATTTTTAAAAAATCCTTAATAAAGTATTAGTAATAATTAATAAATTTTAAAAAGCTTTATACTTACTTAATAT